AGGAGTGTCATTCCTTTGGAAGCCCCTTAGTCTCTGACCACAGGAAAGTGAGACCTAAATTTAATGACAATACAGTGTCTCAGAAACTCCCTGAGTTTTAAATTTTTGTTCCCTTAAGACAGTGTCTTTCACTGAATGTAGAACCTGTTGTCCCATGCCTGGCTGTTGGCAGCCATATTTATAATGATGATTATGGTTTAGGTTGCCACTTAATCTCTGCTCATGAACAGGGCAGAGGCCAACTGAGTTCCCAGCATGGAAATGTTGGTTGTTTTCTCACTGGTTCTGGGGACAGCACCAACTCTCCTGAACAGTGGCAAATGGCACCAGCCAGGAAGGCTCATGAGTCGTGGTATCCACTTGGTGCTGAACCCCACTCATGTAGACACAGCTGACCATGTCATGGAGGACCAGTTTCTACCAAATGACCCAAACTCCTCAAGACTAAGCACGCTGGCAGCAGAGCCACCTGACGCCTGCCCAACTGACAGGTGAGCACGATGCTCCCACGGGCAAGCACCCAACTGTGCCCAGAAACCTAGACCCTCTCTTGGGCCAGGTTCATAGTTTCCTGCAGAAGTGAACTTTTAAGATACATACTGCATTGTTTAGCTTTAGAATTTTCATTTGGTTCTTTTCATTAACATTTCGGTTTTTAGCACTAAGAGTTTATGTGTTTGTTTGTGGGCATATTTCTCCCTTTACATAGCCTAGTCTAGATATGGTGTGTGCTTTTAAAGCCTTGACAGTTAAATCCATGTGAGTCATCTTGGGGTTAGACCCTTTTGTGGTTTTTTAGTTTGGTAGGTAGATTCATACTGTGATATTTAAAGTGTGTAACTCACTGGTTTGAGTGTAGTCGTGCTTGTTTGTTGGTTGCCTTTAATTTCAGTATCGCCACACTGTGTGCAGTAACGTGGGAGTGTATCTCACGTTGTGAGAGAGATTTGCAGAGAACCTGCCTATCTGGATAATATTAGTGTGTTGCTGTCGCTTTACCAGACCGTTGACTTGACTGAATCCAACCTCTCCCGATTGGTGGGTGGCAGGGGAAACCTTTCTTTGCAGCTTTTAAGTTACAGGCTGTCATAGTTAGGAATTCTGTTGCTGTGATAAATACCAAGGTCAAATGCAAGATGGGGAGGAAGGAATTTATCTCATATTACAGCATGTGGTCCATCAACCAGGGAAGTCAGGAAAGGCACCTGGAGGCAGGAACTGAAGCAGAGGCCATGGAGAGGTGCTGCTTACGGATTGCTCCTGCTCACCAGTGTTATACTTTTAAAAAGGGGGCATGAGAGAAAAAATACACCATGTGACAGAACTTAGGTGAAGGCTTTTTTATTGGGGGGAGTGAATGGGAAAAGGACAGAGGGAAGAGGGGGAGACTAGCGTCTGGGGACAGGAGGAGCAGCAGAAGAAAAGAGAGAGGCAGACAGAGAAAGAGAGACAAGAGAGGCAGAGAAGCAGAGAGAGAGAGAGAGGAGAGAAAAACGGGAGGTGGGCAGGGCCCTTTTAAAAGGGAGCATAGTGAATGTGCACAGGTGGTGCTCTTAGTGGCTGCAGCTGAGGATGTGTCCTGTCAGAACCCCAAGGGCAGGCCAGTACGATGCCTGAATACTAACAACCAGCACTTTCTGGTTTGCTCCCTTCCCATTCCTGTGGGTTATCTACAGAAGTTTGGGCTCAGAGAAAATCTGCTGCCCCACAGCTGGAAGTCACCACTTATTTTTAACCTCAGCAATTTGGCTTTTGCCCTTTCCCCTCCCCAGGGATCGTCTCAGGGGGGAGCTAAGAGGCCTTTTGAGGTTCCAGAGTTGGCTCACACCGTAGCTGCTGCAGCCCCCTGCCCTGTTCTGTGCAGGACACTGTCCTTTCTTCCTGCCTGTTCTTTGTGCAGGTTAATGATTTTTTTAAGTCACAACCGTGGCATATGCTTTTGTGGGAAAAGTTCTCACAAAAGTGAATATATTGGAAAAGGACACCTGTCTGCTCATGTAACTTCTCTGCCCCACACCCAGAGTTAGCTACAGTTAGTGGTGTGCAGAAAATTCCAGACCCCTTACCGTATGTGTAGACTCACACATCTGTGGACGCAGGCCAGTTCCATGTGTGGAGTGGTGTCACGACACACTTCCCCAGAGCCTGCTTGCTTCTCTTCTCAGCCTCTCCGTCTGCCTGTCTTGGAAGTGCCCTTCCCTCCAGGTAGGGGTTCTTGTGTTTCAGGGTTTCTGATCTTTGTTTATCACCTCCAACCTTTGGCCCCTGTTTTCTGCTTGCCCCTTCCAGCTCTACCCTTTCTTACCTTCCTGCTATTTCCTGTGTCCGGGTACCTAGTGAGTGAATCTCATCTCACACCAGTGTTCAGTATTATTCACTCCCAACATGAACTTTGGCTTTCCAGCACTGGTCATTTGAGCTTTGCTGAATTGTTGAGGACAGCTCACCTTGTAGCCATGTATACATCAGTACCTAAGGCTGAAGTCACTAAACACTGTAAACCAGTACTTAAACAATGCATATGTATTCTTTTGCAGAGCATTTGTTGCTAAGAGTCTGAAATCGATTTCACTGAACTAAAGGCAAGCCCATTTGCAGTGGCCTGAGGAAATCTGTTTCTTTGCCTGGGCCATCTTCCTGTCTACCTACAGCTCACCAGTCCAGTGTTTGCTTCTGACACCATGCTGTCCCCCTGCCTGCCCTAGGTCACCATCTTTCTCTAGTAGGGACAGCTGGGCCTCTGTCAGATCTGCCTAGTAGATCAGAGTGACCGCTCCTACCCCCCCCCATGGACAGTTTCCAGGAAAGGACCATGGGGGACACTTCAGCCTACCGCCCCATCCTGACAGCAGACTGACATCAATCTCTTTCTCCTCTCCTTTACTTCAGCTGACTGTCTATCTCCACTGCTCAGTCACTGTCCTCCCAGTGGTCCTCTGCTTTCCCCCTGCCTAGTTGTCCAGCGCATTGTAAGAACCTAGCAGGGGAGCAAAAAAAAAAGGCCTACCATCCCAGCCCCTCCACCCTCTATGGCAGTGTCAAGTCTCTCTTCATTTTTATTTTTTTATGCACATCGGTGTGAGGGTGTCAGATTCCCTAGAATTGGAGTCACAGACATCTGTGAGCTGCCGTGTGGGTGCTGAGATTTGAACCAGGAACCCCTGGAAGAGCAGCCAGTGCTCATCACCACTGAGTCATCTCTCCAGCCCCTAGACTTATCTTCTCAAAGCTCCACTTGTTGGCTGCGATGTCCTGTGTCCATACAATAGTCATTACCTTGCAGTCAAAGCTGTCCCGATGATGGACACATCCAGTCTTCTGTCTATTCCTGCCACGTCTCCTGAACACTCTGTACCTACTATGTGCCCTCTGACCTCAGCATTTTCCACCTTGGCGTCCTTTCCTGCCTTATGTTCTTCCTTCAGCTGTCCCCTCCTTCTTGTCTGCAGTGTGCCCATCACTTCAGTATCACCCCACATTCTAGTCACTGCTTGTAGCCTCTCTTTACAGTAAGGGATTTCCTTGGTGTGAGCCCAATGGTATTTAAACACTCGTCTCTTGCTCTGCTCTGCTCAGAAGTAATCACTGTTATGTGTGCACAGTCACTTCTGAGGCTTTGGCACTCATGGCTGGCAGGAGCTGCCTTGTGCTTTGTCGTCTATGGCTGTGCCTTACACAGGGTGGGTTCTCAGTACATTTGGCTACTGTCTTAGTTAGGGTTTCTACTGCTGTGAAGAGACACCATGGCCATGGCAACTCTCATAACGGAGAACATTTAACTGGGGTGGGTCTTACACAGGGTGGGTTCTCAGTACATTTGGCTACTGTCTTAGTTAGGGTTTCTACTGCTGTGAAGAGACACCATGGCCATGGCAACTCTCATAACGGAGAACATTTAACTGGGGTGGGTCTTACACAGGGTGGGTTCTCAGTACATTTGGCTACTGTCTTAGTTAGGGTTTCTACTGCTGTGAAGAGACACCATGGCCATGGCAACTCTCATAACGGAGAACATTTAACTGGGGTGGGTCTTACACAGGGTGGGTTCTCAGTACATTTGGCTACTGTCTTAGTTAGGGTTTCTACTGCTGTGAAGAGACACCATGGCCATGGCAACTCTCATAACGGAGAACATTTAACTGGGGTGGGTCTTACACAGGGTGGGTTCTCAGTACATTTGGCTACTGTCTTAGTTAGGGTTTCTACTGCTGTGAAGAGACACCATGGCCATGGCAACTCTCATAACGGAGAACATTTAACTGGGGTGGGTCTTACACAGGGTGGGTTCTCAGTACATTTGGCTACTGTCTTAGTTAGGGTTTCTACTGCTGTGAAGAGACACCATGGCCATGGCAACTCTCATAACGGAGAACATTTAACTGGGGTGGGTCTTACACAGGGTGGGTTCTCAGTACATTTGGCTACTGTCTTAGTTAGGGTTTCTACTGCTGTGAAGAGACACCATGGCCATGGCAACTCTCATAACGGAGAACATTTAACTGGGGTGGGTCTTACACAGGGTGGGTTCTCAGTACATTTGGCTACTGTCTTAGTTAGGGTTTCTACTGCTGTGAAGAGACACCATGGCCATGGCAACTCTCATAACGGAGAACATTTAACTGGGGTGGGTCTTACACAGGGTGGGTTCTCAGTACATTTGGCTACTGTCTTAGTTAGGGTTTCTACTGCTGTGAAGAGACACCATGGCCATGGCAACTCTCATAACGGAGAACATTTAACTGGGGTGGGTCTCTTACAGTTCAGAGATTGAGTCCATTATCGCCATGGTGGGACATGGTAGCATTCAGGCAGACATGGTGCTGGAGACGTACCTGAGAGTTCCATATCTTGCACAGGCAACAGGAAGTGATCTGTCTCACTGGGCATGGCTTGAACATATATGAGACCTCAAAGTCCACTCCCTTAGGAGGGCATTTTCTTTTGAGCTACCACAGCTAAGAACAAGCAATTAAGAGCTCAAACATTTGGGGCCGTGGTGGCGCAGGCCTTTAATCCCCACACTCGGGAGGCAGAGGCAGGCAGATGTCTGTGCGTTCAAGGCCAGTCTGATCTACGGAGTGACATGAAGGGCATCCATGGCTGTTAGACAGAGAAACCTTGTCTCGAAAAGCAAACAAACAAAAAAGTTGAAACACAAAGTTGTGTGCCAGGATGACTAGAATAGTGATGCCTTTGGAGAGAAACTGGAGGGGAGGGGCTGGGGAAAGCTCATGTGACTTCTTCACACTTCAAGGACCATTGGGGAATAGAACTTTGAGCAAGTGTCAAGGTGACATCTTAGAGGTCAGGAAGAAAGGCAGCCAGGGAGACCAAGTCAGAACCACAGGAGTGGGACAGGTGGAGCTCAGAGAGAAGGAAGCTTTAGGATATGGCGGGTACAGTGTCTGTATCAAAGCAGCCCAGGACAGCGATCTTGGCTCACCGAGATCTTCCACTGTGTATGCTTCCTGTATCTGTGAGGGGCACGGTAGCTTGTGTAGGTGAGAAGGCATCCATACCTGTCCCCCACTTCTCATGGGATTCTTGTGAACAGTCTGAGTAACTTCCTCCTGTGAGTTGGTGCTGACTGAAATGACCTTGGGAATGGCCACCTCTTCAGGCTTTAAGCTCCAAATGGCTGTACTTACAGGGCAATGTTTCTGTCACCTTGAGGTTTTGGTGGTTCTAATTTGGGCACCTTGAACTCAAACCTCTGATGTCCTGTGGAATAGGTTGCTAGACTGACGTTCCAATTAATGTTCTCTAGCTCCTCTTGTCACAGATCTTCTCACTGACTGAGAAACCAGGCAGAATTGCTTCCCTTTCACTTTCGGATGAAGTGTAATTAGGAAAGTAAGAAGGGAAACAGTCACTCTTATCTCTCCCCATCCCCTTGCCTGGCCCTATCCCTACTCCCATTCCACCTCCACAGCCCCCCATCCCCACACTACCCCACAAACCAGCCCCTTCCCCACCCCCAGTGACTCCCCCAAAGCCCCGCCCCATCCCCACTCACATTCTCTCCCCACATACCTGCCCTCAGCCCTGTACAGACTCTATCCACCCCACCCCCAGCCCCACCTCCCCACCTCGTGTCCATCCCATCTCCATCTCCGTCAGGAGGGTGACAACTTAATTTGCTACACCCCTTGCGTAGATGCAAAGTTGGACCATTTTGGAAACCAGTGACCACACAGGTCAGTCTCATCCTAGTTGTCCCCAGTGTTGGATCTGAAGGGAGAGATGGAAAGTGTGTTCTAACAAGGCTGGAGGTCTGTCAACCGTCCGGCAGTCTATCTGGAAGATAAGTGTCCTTTCTCATTTGAAGACATGTTTTATCTAGGAAGTCACTTATTTGGGGAATGAAAGGGAGCTAAGACTCATCCGTTTTTTCCCTGAATAGTTCATGCTTTGTTCTGCAAGTTTTGTTGAGCATTAGTTACAGGGTAGGTCCTTCAGTCTTACCTCTAGTAAGAACAGTGGTTCCTCCACAAGGAACTTTTGGCTTTCACTCAGGTGTGTGCGCAAAGCTGCTCTGGGCCATGCACTCATGTTCCTTTTCATGGCCAATCCTTCCTACAGACAGGACAATGACGATACAAATTGGTGTAAAATGTGGCACTTTTAATTCCTTGACTCTCAGGGACTAGTTGCATACAGGGCTTATAAGGTCTCAAAAGCCCATGTCCCAGTGCAGAATTGATAGTCTTTTGGGGAGTCATGTTAGCAAGTGGGGGGGTGTGCATTGTTCCTCATCAATAGCAAAAGATGGGGACCAAAATCTGTGACTGTCTTCTGGGATAGTTCTGGAGTCTAAGCAAAGTTACCTAAAATCACATTTGAAAATTGAATCTTGGCAATCTGAACCAGAAAATTTTGAATTCCCAAGGTCACTTGCAATACTGTTAGGTATTATCTACACAATCCACACATATACAATACACCTTAGCTATGTGCTGTTCATGAATACACTATATCTCATCTACCTGCAGTTTCTGAATAGATTCATGAAGCAAATAATCACTGTGAACATGTGCAACTTGGTTTTCCAAAGAATTTCATAAATTATTTTGTAAGAAAAAAATGTTCCCCCAGTCAGTGGCAGTGCCTGCCTTAAATCCCAGCACTTGGGAGGCTAAGAGACAGGCCGATCTTTGATTTGAGGTTTGCACAGTGAGTCTCAGGACAATAAGGGCTACACAGTGAAACCCTGTCTCTAAACACAAAACAAAAAAGGGGAAAAATGTTGCTGCTAGTCATTCTCTTTCATTCTTTTTACATTTCAGTTTGTATGTTGGGTTCTCTTCAAGAGGAAAGATGTCTGGCTTTATGGGTGTGGTTTAGACAGTAATGAATCTAGACCAGTTAAGAGTTTTTCTCTGGATGTCCTCATAATGGCACATCGGGCCATATCCAAAGTAACTTCTCTACTGTCAGTCTGTGAGACCTCACTGGAAGTTCGTGGCAGGGTAACACGGGCCTGTGCTTATGTTTTCTAGCACTTTTTGTCACACCAATATCCTTGTGAGATAAACTTTCCAGTATCCCAGGAGTAAGGGGCATTTGTGAGTCTGCTGAGGTCACAGGGCAAAGGTCAGAATTGCTTAATACTCTAGGCCTCACAACCCCAACAGGAGCCTCACTGGCTGCAGGCTGCAGCCATAGACCTGCTACACCCACCAGCCTAAAGTGAGTTAGGTTATAGACCCGCCTGGAGCAGTGACTCTGCTCTGCCCAAGTCCAAGGCTGCAAGCATTTCCACAGAACCAAAGCCATTGTAAATGTCTCCTGCCCTAGAGAAGTGTCTCAGGGTGCCTTGTGGGGGGCCAGGTCTTCCAGAGGATCCATCAACCCTCACCACAGAGCCTGTGAGCAGAGAGGAGAAGATGCCAGTCAGCCATCCAGAATCAGGCTCCAGGACAGGACTCTGCACTGCCATGTAGCCACCCCACCCCCTGGGTGGAGCCAGCTGTATGACAAGAGAGACAAGACTGGCAGATCATCTAAGCCTGGTGGTCCTGATGTGGGAATTCACACACACCTCTGAAGATGGGAAGAAAAAAATGTTAAAGAATTAATATCCCCCAGGCCCTGAGACAGATTTTTTTTCTGGACATCTAAAAGAAGGAGCAAGGCTGTCCCTTCCCATTTAAAAGGAGCAGTGAGAAACAGAGAGATCTCCAAAGCAGTTTTCTGATGGTACCCAAAGGACTTGTGGAGAATGGTTCAATTCCCAAACACCCACCTATCCAGTGTCTGATAAATAACAACAACATTTGGGTCAACCTTTGTCCCCCTGCTTGTCCAGATATTGCTGCTTGAAGGGCGCAGTGGTTTTCTGGCAGATACGGCCGGTGTCTGCATCCCCAGCAGAGGTGGGTGGGGCAGCACGTGCTCTGTACCTGCAGGACACTGCACAACTGCTGCTGGAATGCTGAATAGGTGCTGCTGCCAGGTCCCAGAGTTGTGTCTCCAGCAGGCAGAGCCTAGCAGTAAATTAGCTTATGTTTCAGCCTGGCAGTTGGCACTTGGTTCATTTGTAGATGCTAATTGTAATCTGATGTTATCAGCGGCAGGTAATTGAAATGGGCTTGATGAATTACTTAATTTCTTTTAATAGCTGAGTCTTCAAGAACTGAATAAAGAAGATAAGGTGATGGGGAGGAAAACACAACAGCTCTATCTTTCTAATTAGTGCTCGGAGGTTTCCCTCTTCTTTACACAAATGATGGGGAGCATGTGAGGCTGCATAAATCCAAGAGTCAGAGGCCCCCATGGGGGCTTCTCCCAGTAGGCGGCCCTGTCCCGAGCACTGAGAGCTCTTCGTCTGGGACCTCAGAGAGGAGCCCCGGAGGGACTACAGAGGGCACTGATCTCTGAGCACAAGTTTGTTTCTCAGACTTGGGTGAGCCGGTCTGCCATGCTTAGATTCCTGGAGCCTTCACCTGGCACCTGCACCTCCCACCCCTGGCAGTCTGAGTATCTGCAGCAACACCCATGTAGCCAGCCCTGGCTTGGCCAGCAGTGGCAAAGGCAGATGTGGCCATAGGAGCCACCATCTGTTCTGGGCTCTACCTGCTGGGCCCATGCCACGTGACTGCTGGAGCTCCGGAGGCAATGGTGGAAGGCTTTCTTCCAGGATCTTGTGACTCAGGTTCATTTTTCAAAACCTAGTGGTTTGGGGTGTCTTAATTTGCTTTGGGCTGGTTCCTTTGTTGTAGTTTTTTTCTTCTTTTTGAGGAAACTGAAGTAACAGCAAGGGAATATAAAGCATTAAGGTGTCTTTTCTACAGGATAAGGTGGTATTTGGAGATGATATGGTGAGTGACTACCTGGACTGCCTCTAAGAGTCCTCTTATGTAACACCATGAAGACAGCTATGGTTAGAATGAAGATTTCATGGCTGTCACCCACTGATGCAATTGTGGCAATACCCTGTGTGTAAATAACACACACACTGGGAGCTCTAACAATGTTTCTCTTTAAAAATTACTTTCATGGATTTATTTGTTTAGGGTGTGTGTACCCTCGCGTGCGTGCATGCGTGCGTGCGTGTGTGCATGCGTGTATGTGTGTGTAAGTGTGTGTGTGTGTGTGTGTAAGCTGGTGGGAGTCTGTTCTTCCCTCCCACTGTGGGGACTGCAGGGATCGAATGGGCTTGGTCGTCTGGCTGGCACTTGGGACCTTGTCAGTTCTCATCTGAGCTGTCCTGATGCTGTGAAATTTTCTGAGCTGCATGACTAGGAATTCATACCTTTATGAATGTATATAATACTTTATTCAGTCTTTTATCTATAAACATCAGCTATATATGTGCTTGATACAATGTGATATCTGAACTGTGTATATATTGTAGAATAATAAGTAACACCTCACCTACTTTTGCAGTGAGAATGGTCAAAATCTAGTATCCTGCAGTTTTGACATATAAAACACATAATTAACAGCTATGGCTTCCATGCTATATATTATACCAGAGCTTGTTCTTACCTAGTGAAGCCTGTTATCCTTTGACCAATGTCTCCTCTTTCCCCGCCCCGCCTCACCGCCCTACTCTCAGCTCTGGGAGTCCAGCTTCACCGGCCCCTGTGTATAAGTGAAGTATGTAGTATTTGTCTCCTGTGCCTGGGTCGTTGTACTGACTAGAGTGTCTTCTAGGTTCCTCTACATTGTCTCCCGTGACTGGGTTCCTTCTTCCTGTGAGGCTGTGTCTACCCCAGTCTGTCTATTTGGGTTGTGTTTACCCATCCACCGAGGCATAAGGGTTCTTGCTGATAGTGGCCATCACATATCTTGCTGAAGTATATGAGGGAAGTCTTTGACACACTGTCCCCAATTGTGTTGGTGGTTGTTGTTACCCATCAGCCCCTTTCTCTTACACACCTCTGTCTAACCTGTCCTGAGAATGGGATCAGGTCAGAAATCACCTTGGAGTCCTCACCCCTTCCCTCACATCCAAGATGGGAGCAGTTCAGAAGTCTCGAGACGTCTCCTCCCAAAGCCAGTCTGAATGTGTGCTCACAGCAATGGCTCAGTGCTGCCCACCTGGGTCACTCACAACAGCTTCTCCCCACTAGTTCTTCAGATTCTCTTTTAATTCGTGTTCCACATGGTTTCCATGACAACTCTATAGGAACTCCCAGCTGCTCCATCTCATCATGGCCTATCTAATCTCAGAACCCTGCCCTGGGTTCCTGCTGCCCTCAGGAGGAAACCCCCAAGTCCTTCACCTGCCATTTTCATTTTTTCAACAACCCCCAGCATCTCAGAATACCTCTTGAATGTCTTCCATGTGTGGGCAGAGCAGGCACCTAATTCCGCAGGCGTTTCACGGAGTGCCCTTTCATTTCCAGAGGGATGAACACCGACCTCTCCGTACCCAGGTGCTGGCCTCACTTGCCTTTCTGACTTCCTTTTCTGCCACTCACCCACACTCAGTCCCCATTCCCACCGTTGTTCCTCTCACCGCTCTTCCTCCCCAGATGCCTTTCTTCCTTGTGTGGAGCCTCAGCGCTCCCTCACCCTTTGTATATCATGCTGAAGCCAGAAAAGACGAAGCCGTAGTGCTCATCTCCAGATCCCGGACACTCTGCACATGGTACTCATTAAGTATCACACGTCTTTGCCAGCTAGATCATGCATTCTAAGGCTGACACTGTGTGTCTTAAGTTCACGGGTGTCCTCTTCACCTAGTGGCCAATGCTTGGTCCCGAGTGAGTATGGATGATGGCTTGCCTGCTGCTCCCAACACAGGACACCACACAGATGATGTATATTATAAACCAGAGAAATTTGACTCATCCCCGTGGAGGCTGGGAAGTCTAAACTCAAGGGGCTAAATCTGATGAGGACCTTTTTGGCTGTGTCCTAAGGTGTCAGCGGAGACAGAGCATGGTAGGACCAATCAAGAGAACCCCACACTGCAGCCCACTCCTTAACCCCACCCCACGAGCTAATCTGTTGGAAGGTGTCTTCCGTAAGACCTTCCCAGTGGCAAATAAGCTTCAGTGTATGTTTACAGAGGACAGCGAAGCCACAGCAGTGTCTGTTTGTCCTAATGTGGAGAGGTAATAGAAGCCAAGCATGCTGGGAAATGCCAGGCATTCACCGGTCCCAAGCAGAACACTTGCTTTCCTCTTTCTCGTCCACTGCACCCACGCCTGTGCCTCATCCCCAGTTAGCGTCCTGTCCTCCCTGCTGTGGGCCAGAGCTAGAGGCCCATTCTGGGCAACAGCAGCAATGCTCCGACACTTTGTTGTGCACCTCGACATTGCCTTTGGTGTAAACATCCCCTATGTTCCCTCCAACTGTAAAAAGTTCAAATTCTATGTTTTCCCCTCATGGAAAGAAAGTGTGTATGAAGCTGAACTTGATTCTCGATTCCTAAGTTGTTGTTAAATTTTAAAGTGCGTATGTGACGGGGGTATATGCACGTGGGTGCAGGTAAGTACAGGTACCTCCTGAGGTCAGAGGGGTCAGGTCCCCTGCAGTTGGAGCTAAATGGTTATGGATGCTAGGAACCAAACTTGGGTCTTCTTCAAGAACTGAACACACTCTTAACATTGGAACCATCTCTCCAGCCCAACTTTTTGTTTATTTGTGTGTATGTTTGTTGTGTTCAGTTTATGTGGTGCATAGGACATGTTATGAATATGTAGTATAGTATGTGTCGCATGCGTGTGGGGACGGTACATGGACATATACATGTTCAGGTGCTCGTGTCCAGATACACACAGAGGAGGGTGGCAGATGTACTGCTCTGCAGCTGTTCATCTTATTTCCTTGCGGTGGGCGTCTCCCTGAGTCTGGAGTGAGGATGGTGGCTAGTGAGCTCTAGAGATTGGCCACAGGTATATGCAGCCATGTTGAATGGCGTTTTTGTTTTTGGGTTTTTTTGTTTTTGTTTTTGTTTTTGTTTGAGGCAGGGTTTCTCTGTGTAGTCCTGGCTGTTCTGGAACTTTATCTGTAGACTAAGCTGGCCTTGAACTCACAGAGATTCATCTGCCTCTGCCTCCTGAGTGCTGAGATTAAATAAGTGAGCCATCACTGCCTGGTTTTTTTTTTCATATGGGTGCTGGGGATTTGAACTCAGATCCTCATGCTTACACAAAAAGTGTTCATACCTACTGAGCTGTCTACTCAACCTAAAACTTTTGATGTGAACAAGGAGTATGGTAAGCTTGAGAAACAGTTAAACCATCAGGCAGCAGTTGGATTTTATCGTACCATTTTAATTTTATTTCTTCAGTTAGTAGTACTAAATTAAGCAGATTTTTCTCCTCCCTTTACACAGTCCTTTGCCCCGCAGCTGTATAAGACAGCCTGATTAGCAGGCTAACTAAATAATACATTAACCTTTTGGATCTTGATCCAAGAAGTTCTCAAAGCACGATACAATGGGGCCTTTGTGCAAGTTTGAAGAGTGCTAATATTTATGACTTCTGGACGAGAAAATCACTAGGATAGCACACTGTTTCAAGTACATGAACTTAATGGTCTATTCTCTCCTGTGTTTAACATCCAGCCTTAGGAGACCAATGCTGGCTTTGCTTTTTGAGGTATTCAAATAGCAGGTTCCACAAAGGAAAGTGAAAAGGCCTTTGTGGAGCCCACACACCTTTGAGGTGGCTGAGAAGTGGCTGAGGATGTAGGAGTGGTGCTGAGTGCCCCAGTGTGCCTGGCCCACCTTCTTACGCAGCACGCATGTCATCTGAAACACAGGCTTGTCACCATCTGGAAGGACAGCCTCAAAGGACAGGAGGGTGAAGCTGCCTGGGGAAGAGCTGGGGCTGGAGCGGTGGCTGTCTAAAGGCAGAGCTGGTGATCTCAGCACCTTCCTATCCCTCCCTGAAGAAGTGGCTGGGTTCCTAAGAAGCTCTAGGCTCTGGCACACCTGAGGAATGAGGACAGTGTGGCAGCAGGACTACTAGAAAACCCAGAGGGGGGGGAGGGAGGGAGGGAGGGAGGGAGGGAGGGAGGGAGAGAGGGAGGGAGAGACAGAGAGAGAGGGAGGGAGAGAGGGAGGGATAGAGAGAGGGGGGAGAGAGAGAGGGGGAGAGAGAGAGAGAGAGAGAGAGAGAGAGAGAGAGAGAGAGAGAGAGAGAGAGAGAGAGAGAGAGAGAGAGAGAGAGAGAGAGCGCACTCCCCTGACACGACTTCCCGGGTACTCACTCTCACCCCGCCTCACTCAGGGTATACATACACCCACAAGATCCCGCTGGCCTTCACGCTGCAGCCAGTGCTCCTCCTCTTAGAGTGAAATTCAGAGACTCCATGCTCAAGACTTTCTGCCACATAATTAGTAATTTCATGGTGACTTTTCTCCAGGGCAGAGCACGTATCCCTGGAACTGGAGGAAAGCCAGGAGGCAACTTTTAGTCACTGATGCTGACTCAGCCTGTCCCTACTTGACTTCTGAGTGGGAGCGTTCGGTGGCTCAGCGTGCAGAAGTCCTCTCCTCATGGACGTCCTGCTGGAGAGCTGGTCACTCTGGGAAGGGTGCACTTTCATTGTCTGAGGCAAATTTCACTGGTGCCATTCAGAATGTCTCCAAGAGCCGTTAAAACGTAGAAGGAGTGCTCTCCATGTGCCCAGCGTCTGTGAAGCAAGCCGTCCTCAGAACGGTCCCCGTGGCAGAGCTTAACAGGCTACATTTTTAAGCCACACTGGCAGAGTTGGCCACTTACTGGAAGCAACAGCAGTCGGTAATTGCATCTCCCTGATTCAGATGGTATGTTCTAGCAAATCCATTATGGAATACTGAATAAGACAAAGACAGCTTACAGCGTGGCCCAGCTGCTGGGGGTGCTCTGGGGGGACCTATAATCGGCTCCGTGACTCGGTAAAACCGGTGAAGCTTCACAATAAGGAGACCTGGAGTTCAACCAGGAATTCCAGACTGTCGCCTTAACAAAACAGATGGTGGCCCCCAGGTCGTGGCTCCATCAGGCAAGCTGGCATGTCTGCCTTCACAGCCCTGGAACTTCTCACATGCGTGGTGGAGAAAGACATCCACGTTGTCTTTGTGTCCACAGAGAACCCACAAAGCTCTGAAGGGCCTGTGATGTGACGCTGCACCCTGTACACAACCCTTCTCTGGCCTCCGTCCCCTGGGGCTGAGCTGGCTGCTCTTTTCCTTGGAGGAGGAGGCACTACTGGAATCATGTGTCCATTTCTCTCGTTTTGGTTGCTACCCAGTGACAAAGAACTCACTCTGAAAGCGATGTCTGGGGCTTGTGTAGTGTCTTGTGGCTGGGGTGGGGGCCCCATAAAACTCAGGAATGCAGAGAAAGCAGTGGTGGCAGGGACTTGTGGATCTTGACGGCTGGCTTGTGTTGTGACCATGCTGCTTTCACTTGTGAAATGGGATTAGTTATATAGCACCCATCCCCGAGGATGGCCAGAGCTAAATGTGTTGATATGTACAAACTTCCGCCCTACTGGAGAGGCCGCTCCTCTGGGAAAGAAGATGTCTCTAAGAACAGTTGGAGGCTGATCTGCCACAGGGGTCCAGCAGGACTGTGAGGCAAGCCCTGGTCAGAACGGATGCCAAGCACGCACGGACCCACAAACGTCACCACCACTAGATTGTGTCGTGTGGGGAGAAAACATCATTTGTTAACACAAAACTAAAATGCTAACTCACGGTACACCGCTACTCACTACAAAGCTCCTGCACATTCTAACCCTGTGGTCTGCAGAGGTGAAGATGTCCTAGAGTAATGGTGCTTGGTCTCTTCTGTTGCCCGCACTCCAGTACCACTGGCTAGCATCCTCCTGGTTAGAAACATTTCAAATGAACAAGACCTATAAAATAATTTAAATCGAAGCATGGGTGGGGCCTAGGTTCTAATGCTGGCTCCACATCCCTTAAGGGACCTTTGGAGGCAGGCTCTCCATCCTGGGTACCACTCAAGTCAGGCATGAGCAGATGCAGTGTCCAATGTCCCACAATACAGAGATATCTAAGTG